ATAATTTGGTAGATTTAGGTTTTTGACTTTAGGAATAGTTTCCATTAATTAGATTACATTTCATAATTTACTCACTAAAATTTAATAATTGATTTTGAGAATAATTGTGTAGTTACGTGAAAAGTATAATCTTAGTGAGTTCTGTCTAGAAAAGTTGGTACTTAGGCGGGCCTCGCCCCACCAATCTTTCCTGGGAACGTTGCTCTGTCTAGGAGACTATTCATTGAGCCAAGAGCTATAGTTTTTCCTGGGAGCACTCTCGGTGGTTACAATTTACGTTACTATATAATTATTTTCTTTTTGATAAAAAATAAAAAAAAATTAAAAAATTAAAAAAAAAATTAAAAAAAATTAAAAAAATAAAAATAATAAAAAAAAGTGAAACGTTATAGGGTGAATGAATCGTTATCGAAACGAATTAGGGAGATTCGCAGTAAGACCGGAGAACCCTAGTGAAGTTTCTTCCCACACGTCTAGTCCTCCCTCGACCCCAGCCTCATTAGCAGTTGCAAATCCGTTTGTAATGGCTCAAAACGAGGAGGTCCAGCAGAAAACGTTGAACGATTATCTCCATCCTACGCGTACGGCCACACCATCATGCATAATGTTTCCCCCAAATATGCCGAATTTAGATTTCAAGCTAGGCATGATCCAACTCCTGCCGACCTTTCACGGGTTAGAAAGCGAGAATCCATACGTTCATATTAGGGAGTTTGAAGAAGTAGTGGCCACTTTTCACAACCGAGCTGAAGCCGTGGACTCTGTGCGATTGAAATTCTTTCCTTTCTCTTTGAAGGAAAAGGCTAAAAGCTGGTTGTATTCTTTACGACCTAGGTCTATTGGAAGTTGGGAAGAAATGACGACATCATTTTTTAACAAGTATTTCCCTCACCATAAGACCAATGGTCTGAAACGACAAATCTCGACCTTTACCCAAAAGGACAATGAAACTCTGTATCAAGTTTGGGAACGGTTCAAGGATCTGTTAAATCAGTGTCCTCACCATGGTTACGAGAGTTGGCGCCTCGTCAGTTATTTCTACGAAGGACTCACGATTCGAGAGCGCCAATTTGTGGAGATGATGTGCAATGGTGAATTTCTCCAAAAGGATCCCGAGGAGGCTTTTGAGTATCTCAACGAGTTAGCCGAAAAAGCCCACACTTGGACCAGACCTAGTGCTACTGACAGCACCAATAGGTCCCGACCGGTTGGAATCTATCAATTAAGGGAGGAGGACAACCTCAAAGCCCAAGTCGAATCTTTGACAAGGCAAATCGAGGCCCTCAAAGGCAAAGAAGGTAGAGGACTCCACACGGTCGCAAGGGCAGAGACACATGAGCCATGCTTTGTCTGTGGTGGGGTGGAACATCTAGCTAAGGATTGTCCTACTTATGGTGAAATGATAGGGGTTTATGAGGAGCAATGCAATGTCTTAGGGGCATACAACAAACCCTTCTCTAACACATACAATCCTGGCTGGAGGAACCATCCAAACTTCAGTTGGAGAGATTCCAACCAAGCACAACCATCAGGAGGACAATGGAGAACTGAGCAACAACCGCAACCACCAAATGTGTATTATGCACCTCAATACAATTCGCATCAGCCAAGGAGTTCTCTTGAGAACACCTTGCAATCTTTCATGAAGGTGCAGAGTAAGACGAATCAGAAGTTTGAATCACTATTCATGCAAATGGTGGAAGAAAGTAAAGAAATGAAGAGTCAAATCACGAATCTGACTGGAGCTTTGGCTGTTCAAGAACGCGGCAAGTTCCCTTCACAAGCTCAATCAAACCCAAAGGGTCAACATATGGCGTAAACCTCATGTCTCGATAATCAAAATATTAAGGAGGTGAATGCCATCAGTACTCGTAGTAGTAAGATTATGGAAGAACCGTCAACAAGTGCCACCACTTCGAGTACTAAGGAAGTTGTCCCTGAGAAAGATGATCCAACAAATGTTCCGGTAAAGGTGCATTTTCCCCAAGCTCTATGTCCAACTGGGAAAATACCAGAACACCAAAGTGAGATCCTAGAGCACTTGACTCAAGTGAAGATTAATCTTCCTTTGCTTCATGTTATCAAGCAAGTGCCTGCTTATGCTAAGGTTATCAAGGATCTGTGCACTATCAAAAGGAAGCACCATGTCAAGAAGACAGTATTTTTGACAGAACAGGTAAGCGCGGTGATCGACCAGAAAACACTGCTCAAGTACAAGGATCCCGGTTGTCCCACAATTTCCTGTCAGATTGGGACACATGAGTTCAGCCAAGCTTTGCTTGATCTAGGAGCGAGTGTTAACCTCATGCCATACTCTGTCTACTCGCAACTTGATCTTGGAGAAATTAAGCTCACATCCGGGGTTCTGCAGTTGGCTGATCGATCGATCAAGAAGCCTCGGGGGATAGTTGAGGATGTTTTGGTTCAAGTTGATAAGTTCTATTACCCCGTTGACTTTTTAGTCTTGGATACTCAATCCGTGGTGAGTATGGAGTCCAAGATTCCCATCATCCTCGGAAGACCCTTCCTTGCTACAGCCAATGCTCTCATCAACTGTAGGAATGGTCTGATGAAGATATCCTTTGGGAACATGACTTTGGAGGTGAATGTTTTTCACATTGCAAAGCAACCACGTGATGATGACGAGTGCCACCAAACATTTCTAATTGACACACTCGTCTCGGAGGAGGTTCAGTTGTGTAGCAATTCTGATGATCTTGATGATTTTCTCCGCATTTCTGAATCTGAGAGTCTCGGTCCTTGTGAGTTGGCCAACAATGTCACCATTTTTAAAGACTCACAAGGCAGAGGAACCAAGTTTTGGCAGCCATGCTTTAAAGAGCTACCTAGAGAAAAAGAAAAGCCAAAACCATCCACCGAAGAGACCCTAAACCTCAAGTTGGCTCAACTGCCTGAAAATCTGAAACATGTCTTCCTGGGAGCTGGTGATACCTTTCCTGTCATCATTTCGTCTAAACTGTTGGAAATAAGCAGCGGTTAGTTGACATGCTGCGTGAACACAAATCGGTATTAGGTTGGACAATTGCTGACATTAAGGGTATTAGCCCCTTAATTTGCTCTCATCACATCAACTTGGAAGACGGAGTTAATCCACGAAGGGATCCCCAAAGGAGACTGAACTCGACGATGAAAGAGGTCGTGAAGAATGAAGTCTTGAAGCTTCTAGATGCAGGAATCATCTATCCAGTCGCTGATAGCAAGTGGGTCAGTCCAACTCAGGTGGTGCCTAAGAAATCAGGGGTGACAGTGGTAGAAAATGATAAAGGGGCTCTTGTTCCCACAAGAACTGTGACGGGTTGGCGAATGTGCATTGACTATCGAAAGCTAAACGCCACCACCCGCAAGGATCACTTCCCACTTCCATTCATTGACCAAATCCTTGAACGTGTGGCTGGTCATCCTTACTATTGCTTTCTTGATGGCTACTCAGGCTATTATCAGATCGAGATCGCATTAGAGGATCAGGATAAAACTACATTTACCTGTGCTTTTGGTACTTATGCTTTTTGGCGTATGCCATTTGGGCTGTGTAATGCACCAGCCACCTTCTAGAGGTGCATGATGAGCATTTTTAGCGACATGGTCGAGAAGTGTATGGAAGTGTTCATGGATGATTTGACCGTCTTCGGTGACTCCTTCGACTCGTGCCTTCTTAACTTAGAAGCCGTGCTTAAAAGATGTGAAGAGAAAAGTCTCGTGCTTAACTGGGAGAAGTATCATTTCATGGTGCCATCTGGCATAGTCTTGGGGCATGTTGTTTCTGAAAGAGGGATTGAGGTTGATTAGTCAAAAATTGAACTTATCTCAAAGTTACCCACCCCCAAGACTGTCAAAGACATTCGGTCTTTTCTGGGGCATGCTGGTTTTTACAGGAGGTTCATACAAAATTTTCAGCAATTTCTCGTCCGCTTTGTAACCTCCTGGCTAAAGACGCCGCGTTTGATTGGACACAAAAATGTGAGGATTCTTTCTGAACGCTTGTGGCGAAGTTGACTTCCGCCCCCATCATTCAGTCACCAGATTGGAGCTTACCATTTGAAATCATGTGTGATGCAAGCGATTATGCTGTAGGGGCCGTCCTTGGTCAACGAAGGGAAGGGAAGCCCTTTGTTGTGTATTACGCGAGTAGAACTCTAAATAGTGCTCAAATGAATTACTCAACCACTGAGAAAGAGTTGCTCGCTGTGGTCTTTGCACTTGACAAGTTCCGTGCATATCTGATCGGTTCACCCATCACTGTCTTTACAGATCATGCCGCCCTCAAGTATATCCTTTCCAAAAAGGATGCTAAGGCGCGATTAATTAGGTGGATCTTTCTATTGCAGGAATTTGAGTTGACCATCAAGGACAAGAAAGGTGTCGAGAATGTCAATGCTGACAATCTGTCTCGACTCGAGTTCAATGATCCTGTCGATGGCCCTGCCATCCGCGATAACTTCCCTGATGAAAATCTTTTC